TACTTGTTAATCTTTAATTATTCTTGAACTGTGAATCATGTATATGTAAACATAAGAAATAAGTGATCAATAATATACGTAAAGAAGCTCTCTCTTAATTGATACACGAAAATCACATATTATGTTAAAAATATTTTGATTGGTTGGCTTGAAATTAAAATTCGTTACGAAATAAAGTAATACTAAATTGAAGTCACTTACATTAATTTAAAATTATTTTCCTTACAAAACATGTGTCTATTAACAACATCAAGTCAATTTTTGGAATATAATACCATACTCGAATACTCTTTATGCAACATTTATTATTTCAATGAGTATTGATTTATTTGTTCCCGGTATGCCCTTCTAAAATTGTATTTGCAAATGCCACCTGTCTGATGGTGTCAGATCGAGGCCCAAGAAATTCGTCGCAACAAAGTGCTAAGTGAAGCCTGTCGTTAGCCGTAGCTTTGAGCCCCATGCAGGAGACAGTATGATTTGGCTAGGTTCCACTCCAATTTTGAGAGAAAACACCGTAGGGGTGGTCAGGAGCCTCTCACTTTTCTTCCCCTGCCATCAACCTCACGAAAGGACTTGCGGCTCGACGGCTATTTAGAGTGCCCCCATGCCGCACAGACATTACACATTTACAAACATCCATGCCCTCTCCGGGATTCGAAACCACTCCCTTCAGCACAGCAGTAAGCGTCACTATACCGTACGGGAGGTCTTAAATTATGATGCCCCCATGTAACACACATATAGCTTTTAATTTCTAAAAATTTAATTATTCACTAAAAGAAGTCTGAATGCAGCTTGTTCAAGGCACGGGACTTAAACTTTAGAAAGAAATCACTAAGAAATTGTTAAGAAAACATAGTGAGGGTAAATTTTCAAAACATAAAATGGATAACTGAAATTCGGGTACAAAACAATTTTAATGAAATGTTTTTCTCTAATTCCTTACTTAATAGTAATTATTATTTAATAATGTAATAACTTTTCAAAATATAATGTAAGGTCACTTCTAGTTGAGCGAATTAAATTTAGCGAAATACTTGCATTTGTTGCAAGGAGATTTTATATAAGGCTACAATTTATTCAGCTTCAATCGCGAGTCTATGTTTTATTATATTCAGTCGATTTCTTTTCTTCAATTACAATCCATTTACCCTCTGAAATAACATTCAGTTAAATATGGAGATGGAAATGGTAACAATAGTTTTCTACAAAGTTTGCAAGGTATTTAACGTCACGAAACGATTCTATAGCTCCGTTTCTTTTAAAAAAAGTTTAGCTTACTAATCATTTTGCATACTTGAGAATTCTTCTTTGCTCTACATTTAAACGTCAGACAAATCTATCAATACTGGCTGCTTCATCAAGTTGGCAAATTAATTTTCTATAAATCAGAAAATCTTTGAAATCAGCGGACAGAATTTCATACAATCGACAAAAACAAGTATATCAGTATCAGTCTTTAAATGTTTTTAGAGTCGGTGAAACTTTTTAAAATTTTTATTGCAAGCATATATTTGACACAATTCAATACAGGAAATGAAGCCAATTTTTCTCCCTTTTTCATTGGCAAGAGATTTATTTGTTCCTTGAGCTGCTTATTTAATACATTTAACTTTCAAAGATATGGGTTAAATAACTCTCAGATGATTTGCTTTCAATCAGCAGATGCTTCATTTAAGGTTTGTCACTTAAAAAAATTATTAAGGTATCAAAATATCCCATAAATCTTTCCAAGCAGTTAACTTTTGCGAGACACCTTCTTCAATGTAAAGAAACAATCACACACACACACACACACACATATATATATATATATATATATATATATATATATATATATATATATATATATATATATATATATATATATATATATATACACGATCTGCATTGTGTTCTTTATACATGTGTGTTACTTCCCCATGAAATCTCAACTAACTGTATATATATACGTATTTAATATTGCTTCAAACTTTCAAATGGGGTTCTATAGAAAATATAACATGCGTTTAAAGAAAACTTATTTCAATATGAGATAGAGTCGGATCCCGATTTATTGAATCCCTATTTAATACATTTCGCGATTTAACGGATTTTTTTTCCCCGATTAAAATGAAGACAAAAAAAACCTATTTAATAAATAATGACATTGAATTGATGAATTATTTCAACATCCGGACATTTTTTTATTAGCTTGAATTAGAAAAAAATTGTATTTCTTTCCAAATGACGTATTATTTTTGTCAAGAACAGAAAAAGACATTTCTTGTGGGCAGCAAATTTCGACCTTCAAAAGTGTAACCCATTAATAAACATTGCAGGTGCAAATGAAAAACTGAGAGTAACCAATCTCGTGAGGTTTGAATAGGACAGGAAATTCCTTCTTATTTCATTCCACTTCATAACGCAGGGGATATATTAAAAGTGTTTACCATTTTCTCTCTTTCTTGAGAGAAGTGAGGTTTATTATACGTGCAGTTTTGCAGATAATTTTTTTTTGTTTTTGAAAATTTGTGATGCTGAGGAAATTGTTGATTTTTCCAAGACAATTAATAGCAATTCTGATGCAGAAATTTGTAATGAAACTCTAATCAAAATTTACATTTTCTAATGATTTACATTGCTTAGAACGATCGAACGAACGATTGAATATTAACGTCGCGCTGTTTAGCTACACGAGGGCTTTTGGCGTACATTGCTTAGAATATGGGAAATCATCCCTCGTGCAGAGCAGGATGTAAATGACTCAATATTTTCTTCTCTGCATGAAGTCCAACTCTTTGGGGGAGTCAGGAAACAAAAAGATAGTCAAATATCTATTAGTCAGGATTTTAAAATTTCCAATTAACTGGTGCGTAATGATTCATTAATAGTATTTTTAGCTGCTGAATAAAAAATGTGTAATTTCTAGGTATGGTTATTTTTCGTGTTTATATATATATAGTTGCTTATAATAAAATTTCCAATTAACTGGTGCGTAATGATTCATTAATAGTATTTTTAGCTGCTGAATAAAAATGTGTAATTTCTAGGTATGGTTATTTTTCGTGTTTATATATATATAGTTGCTTATAATAAAATTTCCAATTAACTGGTGCGTAATGATTCATTAATAGTATTTTTAGCTGCTGAATAAAAAATGTGTAATTTCTAGGTATGGTTATTTTTCGTGTTTATATATATATATATAGTTGCTTATAATAAAATTTCAATTAACTGGTGCGTAATGATTCACTAATAGTATTTTTAGCTGCTGAATAAAAAATGTGTAATTTCTAGGTATGGTTATTTTTTCATATTTATATATATATAGTTGCTTATAATAAAATTTCCAATTAACTGGTGCGTAATGATTCATTAATAGTATTTTTAGCTGCTGAATAAAAAATGTGTAATTTCTAGGTATGGTTATTTTTCGTGTTTATATATATATAGTTGCTTATAATAAAATTTCCAATTAACTGGTGCGTAATGATTCGTTAATAGTATTTTTAGCTGCTGAATAAAAAATGTGTAATTTCTAGGTATGGTTATTTTTCGTGTTTATATATATATAGTTGCTTATAATAAAATTTTTAAAAGATAAGTGCAAAAAATTTGTATTTTTTTTACCCCGATATTACGAATAGCCCCGTACTAACGAATAAAGTGTTCGGTCCCTATGAATTCGTTAAATTGGAGTCTAACTGTATGTTAAACCATGCAGAAAGTTGGTTTTTTATTCTAGACTAGTTTACTTTCGAGAGTGCCCTCGCCCTCCCCTTAACAATCAAATCACTTCCCTGTGGAACGTAGGACCCAAGTTGGGAAACATAGTTTTTTAAACGTATCATTGTATATTCAATTGGAAGAAAATATACAACGTGTTGTTATATAACTGAAAGGCAAACTATCACTTTGACCAGAAAATATTAGGTTGGATGAGTGAGTAAATATTAACTATTCAGCTACTCGAAGGCTTTTGGCAACAGATCTCGTAATTTTGAACCATAGTCAAGTGACAACACCTGAACTGCTACCCCCTCTCCTTTCTTCCACACAACTCCAACAGGAGGACGTTTGAGCATCGACATATTTAACGTGCATCGACCCCCTCTGCATGGTGGGTCTTCAGCGGTACAGGCTCGAACTCATGACACACCGACTACGAGTTCGTTACCTTGACCACTAGGCTACCGCGGCCACAGGTATTAGGTTGTAGACAGTAATACTTTTAGTTATATTCTGTTATGTTAGACTTTTTATCTTAGAATTAGCATCTAATTTATCTCAATTAACTTTTTATTATATATTCCTTGCTAATTCTTGAAGATTAATGTCTGAATTCTCCACCAGTATACGATATTGAGGACATCAATTTACTGAAAGTTTTTGTTAAAACGATTTCATCAAACCAAACTGATAGACCTTTATATGCAGATGTCTTCCGTATGGAAGAATACATTTGATTATATGCAACTATATTTTATATTATTAAGTAATGGCATTCTAAATCCAGTATTTTTTACTAGGATTCTAGGTCCGTTTTTCCGATGTTGAATCCATAGAATTTAAAGACGTGCGAGCAGTGTATTTTGAATATGTGTAACAGTCTCTTTTAATTTCTAACGTCATTGACTTGAAAGCCTTTTAGACTTCTTACTTCTGAGATCACTGCAAATCTACTGTAAGATTTTATTTTACCATTTATTGTTCCATTAACGAATTTTTTATGGTAATATTTTTTTCCTCCTTTTAATATATATTAATTTGAAAGACAAGAATCTCTCTCAAATAAGTAGGATATTGACATTATCAATGTTGTTGTGTTTTTATGCTGGGATTCATATGAAATACAAGTGAAAGAACAGAAACATACAACACAAATAGAAGAATTTAGATATTTATTATAAATAATTATTCCAGCATATAGCAGAAGGGGTGCGATGTTTTCCATTCGAGACGGGAATCCATTACAGGCGAAAGTCCGACTTCTTTTCCCGAAGAAGATACAGTCATGCCTTACTCGGGATTCGAACCCGAACTCACTTGGTTACAAGCCAATGGTCATATCCACCATACTGACTGAGCGGCCCCATTAAATTAATTTCCCATTTAATTAAAAGTGTTAAAATATATTTGTAAGAATTAATTGGGATTTTTAGGAATTTGGTTTTAGGGCTTAAAAGAATTACATAAATGGACCTTATATGAAAACTTGATTCAACATGGGATGGCATTAAAGCTTTATTGGATAGTAAAATAATAGTTTTTACCTCATGCTAAGCCGAGACATATTTTTAAAAGGAAATTACGCAAATTACAACATAGTTTCCCCACAGATTTCTCCAAATATCTTTAGAAAAGCTCCTTCTATTTTTATATCACACACACACACAATGTTCTGTTATTTCCTTTATTATAATCCCTTAAAAAATAGTGAATGATTTGACAGTTAATTTTGATTATAAACGAATTTTTATGGATTTTAAATAACTTATCACAAAAATTTGTACTTATGTAAAAGGTATTTCATTTATATGTATTTATTCGCATTACTTTTCATACCTGCTTTTAGTAGTGAGAAACTTAACTTTTAAAGATGTGAAGAATAGAACTCGGCACCTTCTGCTCCATAACATATCCACTATACTAAAAGGATCACCTTAGTAAGGAGGTTGCTACTGGTTTATATAGATACCCACCACCACAAACTCCTCTGCCAGTGAGTCAGTTAATAGGCGAACTAACGATACAGTGGTTATGGCAAGCGTGTGAGTTATTGCTATTGCGTCAAGTGTATTTTTACGCCTTGAGTGTTGCGTCATGTGCTTTGACGGCTTTGCTGTGCTGCGTCATGCGTGTCTGACGGCTTTTGGTTGCTCTTGCGGTGGACAGATGTTGCCACGTCTGCTCTAGAAGCTTGTGTGTTTTCAAAGTTCAGCCAGGGTCATCATTGAAGGAGAATAGAATCCGGCACCATCTGCTCGTAAGCACATAACATATCCACTATACTAAAATTATCACCTTAGTGCGCAGAATGTTACTGGCTTATATAGATACCACCACCACAGATGTAATATTAAGTCATTGAGTATTTATTAACGTCACACTCTATAGCAAAGCAAAGGCTATTGTAGGCTATAATTTTGCACCTTACGAAGCATTTTGCAGCTACGAAGATCACACCTGAGCTGACACCCCACTCTTTTAATTTTCACACCATACCAATGTGGTGTAGTCTCGCCTCATTAGACGAACACTGTTCGACATTGCTTGCCAATTTTGATGCATGGGGGTGAGCAGAATAGACAGATGGATCACTGTATTCTTCAAAAAGAGACCGCGTATTCTTCTCTTGCGTCTGAGGACAAAACAGATGTATAACCGGTTCTGGAAGTGGTTTTGATGTTATCCCATCTCTTTCTTCTCCAACACCCAGATGGCTTTTAGTCGCAATGATTAAGAGAAGGGACAATCTTGCTGGACGGACAAGTTATCTATTATTTCGTTCCTTCACACATGTAAACCTCGAATTACTTGAATGATAAGAATGTTAGCCTGTCATAAGGAAAACATACACAGAAGGGTATTCAGAGTGTCAAAGTGATAGATAAAATGATAGACCCCTTCATACTAGGTACGGCAACGTAGTTGATTTCAGTCGCGATGGCCTAGTGTCTCAAAAAACCAATGGAGTTGGGACCAAGACGAAGGAAGCCCGGTGCAGACTCGTGACGTTCGCCAATGAGATATTATTGAGGGCGTGAAAGAGGCCCACCAAGGGGGTTCAAAGAGTCGGTTCGGAAGATGACGAGGATAATTTTTTTTCTTTCTTCGAACACAAATGAAAGAGGTTACGAGGGCAGTCGCATCCGAGAGGATCAAGGAACTGTGAGGACCTCTTCAAGACAATGTCGGAGTCTGTAGAGCAGCCGATCCAATAATTTATCTGGGGTGATACCAGTGAAAGGGGTTGCGGGGACCGCCACACCAGGGAGCCGATCATCTGAAGATCTACGATCATTAATCCGGACTTGAACTTTTCTCCAGTGAAAGGCTGGGAAGATTAGAATAATTAATAATGAATATAATTTTTTTAAAATTATTTGAAATAAAATGTCATTTGGCCCAAAGCTGGGTGATCCCTCTCGATACCAAGAAATGAAGTAATTTTGAGGGTTCACAACGTTACTGTGGAACTAGAATCGCAACAGATTTAACGTGCATCAGCTTTTCTACATGGTGGATCTTCAGTGGCATCAGAACTCGAACCCGTGACTCAGCAATGATGAGTTCGCAACTATGACCCCTAGGCGCCATGTTTTAAGGCCAAATGGTTTTAATACATTGTAATAAATTGCAATAATATTGTATACATTATATAATTTCTCTTTTTTTTAAATTCCTTTCTTTCCCTCCATTCTACATTAAATTTTTGCGTAACATTAAATATGCAGAAAAGCTGAGCATATTCCATTTAAGCATTTTCCCTAAGAATTGACAAATTTTGTTTGTTACTGAATAAGCTTAAAGATAGCTTTGGTTATAAATATTTTGTATTAAATTCAGGATTTATATATATTTAGTTACATAACAAAATTTTAATGAAAAAGACATTTAACTCCCGCTTGCGTACAATGCCGGGTATTTCAGCAAGCGTAGTGAACTTTATCCTGGAACCAAGAACATTTCACAATTTTCTTCGTAAAATAACCTCCCAATAGAAAAGTGCATTTTTTATATAACGAACTTTTTCTCTTGTAATTCATTTTTTTTCTTCCTGTTTTTAAAGTATTTCTGTACATTTAAAGTTATTCTCTCTTTTAACACACTTTATGCGGGTTATAAATCTTGACCTGGATTTATTAGATTCTTTACCCACCAAAAGCAATAGAATTCTGGGCATTTCATCTATGAAGTGCAACCATTAATCTTCATTGTCCAGTTCACTGGAAACATCTTAGATATCTCCTGTCACCTTCAGTGGAGTTGTCTCGTGCCCCATATCCTTGAACTAGTCTCCGTGTTTATCAGTCAAACTGGTAACTTCGTTTCTTGTAGCTCAGAAATGTCAAAACGTATGTACTTGAGCATCAAAAAAAAAATTATTTTTCAGGAAGTGGATAAAGGTGTCAAGAAGCTTTGTTTACAGTTTTTCTTTCTTTCGATAGGTAAGATATATAAAATAAACATATATTAATTTACGAAAAGGTGTGAATAATTACTTAAAGTATAGTGTTTGTCAATTTAAAATTTGTTTTATGTGGTTTATCAAGAAAATTGAAAGATGAACCTCTATGTAACGAATTTTCCAAACAACGAACTTTTTTTCGGGATTTGGCGACTTCGTCGTATAGAGGTCCGACTGTATAAGAATATGTAATATAAACTAGAAATGGAACATCTTAATAAAAATCATTTATACGAAGATGAACATTGTTTCCTTTTAACAGAATTTTTTCTTGATTTATTGTTTCTTAACGTCACAGTACAAAGCTTCCCGAGGGCTATTGGCTTCAGACCTCGTAATTCGGAACCATTGTGAAGTGACGAGAGCAACATCTTAGCTCTGGCATCCCACTCTCCAAACTTCCCCAATACATCAGCATAAGGATTTTGGGCCTCTGTAGATATAACGTGTACCAGTTCCTTTATTAGGGTTTTAGATGGTAAAATTATTTGAACCCACGACACGACACGAAATTCGCGATTAGCTCCTTAAGGTATCTGACTACGTTTGGAACCGTGATTTTAAAAAAGCGCATAAATTGATAATTTTCAAGATATTTAGCGTCACTTAGATTAAAATATATGTATAAAATTGTTTTAAGAACATTATAAAAAAAAACAATTATTTAAATACAATATTTAGGCAAAAAATTAATTTAGAATAACTTTTTTTTCCAAACATTCTCCTTTTATAAAAAATGCTTCTATAATAATAAAATATTTTGCTTATATAAAGTAAAGACTTCTCCAGAGAATCTGAACTACGATTTTTGAAAAATTCACATTATTTTCAGAGTTACCACCAATTCAAATAATTATCGGCTTTTTTTCTTTAAATTTCTCCCCTCTGTTGTCGTAAAACATGGGTAAACCCACTTCTAAGATATATATTTCAAAAATTCTAATTCAGCCTCTGTGCAGCTGTCTGAGTTATATACAGGCAAAATATTATTATAATAGAAACATTTTTTATAAAAGGAGAATGTTTTGAAAATTGATCATTCTATGTTCATTTTTTGTCAAAATACAGTTCTTAAATAATTTTTTGTTGTTATAATATTCTTAAAATAATTTTATTTACGTTTTTTAATCTAAGTTACACTAAATATAATTATTATCCATTCATACGCTTTCGCAAAATCACAATTCCGAACGTAGTCGGATACCTTAAATCAGTGGTTCTCAAACTTTAACTGCTGGCGACCCAATTTTCAATCATAATTTTTATCGCGCCCCACCCCCAAAAATACTAATGTATTGAATGCAATAATAATGCACTTTGGGGGTGGGGTGCTAAAACTACAATATGATCATAATTATAAACGGTACAAATTAACAAGATAAGTATAAATTTTGTATATGTTACTTTTAAGGTATCCGACTACGTTCGGAAACGGGATTTTCAAAAGCGCATAAATGGATAATTTTCATGATATTTAGTGTCACTTAGAATAGAAAATATGCATAACATTGTTTTAAGGACATTTTGACAAAAAAAATTTATTTAAATACAATATTTTGGCAAAAAAATTTAATTAGAATAATCTTTTTCCAAATGTTCTTTTGTGAAAAATGCTTCTAATAGAATAATAGTTTGCCTGTATATAGGTCAGATCTCTGTTCAGAGGCTCAACCAGAATTTTTGAAATACATAACTTAGAAGTGGGTTTATTCATATTTTACGACAACAGAGGGGCGCAATTTTAAGAAAAAAACGCCGATAATTATTTCAATTGGTGGTAACTCTGAAAATAATGTCAATTTTTCAAAAATTCCAGCTGAGCTTCTGTAGAGAGGTCTGAGCTATATACAGGCAAAATATTATTATAATAGAACCATTTTTCACAAAAGGAGAACATTTG